AACGTGAAAGAAGAAGATAAAAAAGAGGGGGTGGGGTGGGAAGGGGGTGGGAAGGGGGAGGGGTGGATGGGTGGGAAGGGGGTGGGGGTGGAGGGGTACACTGATTGGAGAAATGTGAACGCACACGCACACAACTAGCTAGACATGTTTACTGTGGGGATAAGAGTGTGAGGCATTGCACCCCTTGATTCGCATGAAAGAGAGAGAGAAAGGCGACCAATTGGGGACGTTTTCTTCAGTCAGACTGCGCCTGCATGAGAGGTGAGGAACCAACAGTCTGCACATAAACAAATCAGAGGTCTCTGCTACGAAGTGGTCAAGCCGTTTGCCTCGCGCTCTGAAGGTCATGGGTTCGTGTCACGGCTGCGCTCTTTAGTCCACGAGAGCAATTTTTACGGAGATCCCTGGGGATCGTCGCATTAGCTACGGAGTTCGTGCTTTGCGCGGCGCTCTCGGTAGACAGCTGGCCGTTCTGCGGAGGGAGACCGAGCCATATGAAACCAGTGCAAGGAACTTGTTCCTCTCGACTTTAACTTTATATAAATAAATCGGATCTGGAAAAAGGAATGTGCACGCACAACTCGAAAGTCCGAAAGTGAATGAATGACCAGCAATTGCAGTCGGAGTTTCCGTCCTGGGTCAACCAACAACGATATATCTTGCCCTGTCTCAGCACAACAACGTTACATCTTGCCCTGTCTCAACACAGCAGCGTTAAATCTTGTCCTGCTCAACACAACAGCGTTACACCTTGCTCTGTCTCAACACAACAACGTTATATCTTGCCCTGTCTCAACACAACAACGTTACATCTTGCTCTGTCTCAACACAACAACGTTACATCTTGCTCTGTCTCAGCACAACACCGTTACATCTTGCTCTATCCCACCACACAGCGTTAAATCTTGCTCTGTCTCAACACAACAACGTTACATCTTGCCCTGTCTCAGCACAACAACTTTACATCGTGCCCTGTCTCAGCACAACAACGTTACATCGTGCCCTGTCTCAACAACGTTACATCGTGCCCTGTCTCAACAACGTTACATCGTGCCCTGTCTCAACACAACAACGTTACATTTCTCCCTATCTCAACACAACAACGTTACATCATACTCTATCTCAACACGACAACGTTACATCATGCTCTCTTTCAACACAACAACCTTTCATCTTGCTCTGTCTCAACACAACAACGTTTTACCTTCACCTGGTTCAATTCTACAACGTTTACACTTTCGACTGCTTTAACCTAATAAACCCTCCTATGATTCAAGTAAACGCTATGCCTTTCCTCGTTTAGCCTAACAATGTTGGACCCAACAACATTATACCACTCCCTGGTTCGAACAAAGTTAAATCTTCCCTTATCTCACCGCAACAACTCACGCCTTCCTCTGGTTCCTCCAGACAATGCTACGCCTTCCCCTATCTCAACCAAACAACCTTACACCTTTTCCTGTTACAACTTCCCCTGTATTAACACAACAACGTAACATCTTGCCCTATCTCAACACAACAACGTAACATCTTGTCCTATCTAAACACAACAACGTAACACTTTGTCATATCTCAACACAAAGTTACATTTTGCCACATCTCAACACAACAACGTTACATCTTGCACTGTCTCAACACATCAACGTTACATCTTGCACTATCTCATCCTAACACATCGTTTACAAGCTGCACTGTCTCAACACGACAACGTTACACCTTTCCCCAGTCTCAACCCAACAACGCTACACCTACACCCATCGTTCAACTCAAGAACATTGCGCGGAGTTTCATCATCGTTGTCCCCGCCAAAATTCTCCCGCAAAATTCTCAGCCAAAACAAAAAACCCCGTCACAGGAGAAAATAGCAATGTTGTCTGCCAAGTTGGCGTGGTAATACTTTCTCGACCCAGCGTGACATTTCGATCTTCATTTTCTTTAGATAATTTCTACAGCTAGGAGCAAAGTCCACTAGGTCACACACACACCCACACCCCCCCCCCCCCCAATCGCCCCAACGTCTTGGTTACCCTCTCCCGCGGGGTTCTCAGAATATTAATGGGTTTAAGGTTTCGTTTGGGCCGGAAATTTTTCTGTCTTGGGAGCTAGGAGTGGCTGGGGGCCTAGATTATTTCAAGGGGCTTTCGCATCGGAACCAAAACAACGTCTGGGCTTTTGAATTAACAGTGGGCGGTTGTGCCAATGGATGTGCAGATCAGATAGATGGATGTTTGTAGTTTGTTTGAGTATCCAGAAGCCATGAGTTGTTAACCCTTAGGCTCGGTATTATGGATATCGAAACCTTTCGGCCTTGATTCCCATTGTGAATACCGTCAATCTGGGAGGAATGTGGCTTTCCTGCCTACCCCCGGGAGTGAACCCTGACCACAAGGAGTTCGTCACCCGGTCACCGAGCAATCCGGTTTAGCTAACTACGTTAGAGAGCCGGGCACAGATAGATAGATAGGTCGGTGGATAAATATATGGATCTAGAGAACATGAAGACTTTTTTGTAAAAAAGTAATAATTTAGACACGCAGACCCGTCTTCTGTCTAACCACACACACATATATATATATATATATATATATATATATATATATATATATATATATATATATATAGAGAGAGAGAGAGAGAGAGAGAGAGAGAGAGAGACCTTCGGACAGGAAGACAGACTGACTGACGCATGGACGGACGACAGACTAACAGGCGCAGACAGAAGATAGATACCTATACATACAGACAGACGGACAAACAGACAGATATATATTTTTTTGTGCTACATTACATACAATATTTATACCTACATTTATTACTTTCTTTCGTTTTATGTGCAAAGTCTGCATTGCCCTTTTAAATGATAATAATGTTTTGAGAAATAAACTTTCGACTTACGACCTGCCAGTCGGCGCCGAACTTGTTGGTAAATCAACCAAACCTTGTGTAATCTCTATGTTGTCTTCCCACACCTTTCCCGTCAAGTTTGTCAGTTGTCACAAAGTTATGGCGTTGGTTTTCCCCCTTTTAACTGTCTGCAGTATACAGTGTGAAGGGTCCCACTTCACAAACCATTAGGACATTTTGAACTTATTACATAAGTGAAATTTCACGATTTTTAAAAATAGATTTAATGTAATTCCCACGAGAAAGACAGTAACAACAAATATGTCTTCTTCATCTTTTTTTCTTTTCTTCATAATAACTTCTTTCTTCATCATCGTCATCATCTTCTTTCATGTTTTCTTCCTCTTATTCTTCATCTCTTCATAAACTTGTTTTTCTTCTTCGATCGTCTTGGAAAAAGAGACACAGACACGTAGTGGTGTGTTTTATAACTAGCCTGCGATATCCCCACCTTTCGGCCCAGCATTATATCACAGACTAGCTTTAAACCACAATACGACGTGTTAACCATACTTTTAACCAGTAGTAATAATTTCCACACAAAATATCATGTTCAACCCTCACGGTTATAATGGGATATAAAGTGTTCACAAAGAAGAAGAAGAAGAAGAAGAAGAAGAAGAAGAAGAAGAAGAAGAAGAAGAAGGAACTTTCCTGTTGTTATATGAGCAAAATTTCAAAAATAGATTTTATATCACCACCAAAAGTGGCATTGTAATTGCAAATAACCTTAAACTTGAAAAAATAACACAGGGATTTCACTTTCATTATTGGTACTCTGTCTGGTTCAAGAAAACATGGCAAATTTCCAAGTGCTGGCGTTTTACCAGGATGTTGAAATTGCCAATGTTTACAGTGGGACTGACAACATTGTGACTTGCCGATTCACTTTCAGGGCTGCCGAGGTTGGTACTTTCGTGAAAATTTGGTATTCTTCTACATAAGTATCAAAATGAAATATTAAACCATACAAATTCGCTCTTTTCTAAGAACTTTTAACAGTTAAGACATTGATGAGATTAAATTTATTGCTCCAGACATTAATTTTACAAACTTGAAGCCGCCACAGCAGCTTTGTAACAAACTGAGCGTAGAAAAATGCTACAGCAATGATGTAACAGACACAAAATTCTAGTTCTTAATAAATATAAGGTAATTTACTTTATATCTATGTGCGCACAGTTGTAAAAAAAAGAGTATTACGTTTCTTATTTTCTGATTAAAAATAAAAAATAGTGTACCTTTTGTCGCGTTTTGGTACTTTTTAAAAAATGGGTACTTTTACGAAAATAAGTTTCGGTAGCACTGTTAATGTGCGCAGAAACGTCTCTTCCATTCTCTCCTCGCCTCTCATTGGCTGGCCTGTCACGTGACCTGGCTAAAATTAGAAGTTCACGCGGAGCGGGAATGATTTTGGCGCGCGGCCAAGGCACTTTGGTATTCATCTGGAGCGGTACCACAATGTTTAGGGGGGAATTGTTCATGACAACATTGAAATTCAAATGTAAACTTTGAGTTCCGCTGAAGGTTTGATAATAACTTACATGTTACATTATTAAATTAATGTTACCCTTTTTCTTAGCGTTAGTTATTTAAAAATTAAACAGATAATTTTTGAGGAATTGACATAAACATGTAATTATTTTAGGCATTTAAAAGTTGACACCCCTATAGTAGTAGTAGTGAGATAAGTCTTGGCTGTAAGGACGTCAATGAACGACGTACCAGACCAGACGCTGATTGGTTGAGTTTTCCCTGGCTGGGATCTGATTGGCTGTCCGCCCAAGTCTATACAAGTCTTGAGACCAGGAATTTAGTTAGTTCTCTCAGCGACCTGCCACAAGTGGAATCTTAACGTTCCTGGTTCAAATCCAACACTATATTTGACGGATTTGTTATTTTTGAAACGATAAAAACGCTTTGTCACCCAAGTGCTGGTACTTGTGTTGAAATAGAAGTTATTTATACGGCCACCAACGTAAAGTTGCCTTTAGCATCTTGTTTCTTCAGCTGGACTATTACTTTATATATATTATAAAGGTGTGTGTATTTTCTTTGGACTTCAAGTTTTTACTTTGATTTAAGATTTGACAGTTATGGCAATGTATCCAAACGCGACACGTGGATATATGCCGTTTGTGAAACCTGCCCACAAAAGGCAGGCGGCGAAAAAGTCTAGGGTGGACAAAGCAGACTCTCTTAGAGCCAGATCCAGTGATATGAAGACATACAAAGTGACATTACGTGATAGAAATGGTTTTACATATACGTATATTATTCAAGCGGATACATCTTCTAAGAGTACGCCCATTCTTTGCGAGTCTCGCGTTGCGGCGCCAAAGTCACTGTCTTCTTCTTTGCCAGACATCAAAGTGCCATCTGCCGAAAGCATTGAAGCCAGGCGCCACTCCAGCTGCTTGGGTCTTGCCCAGGGAGTGGAAGACTTGACTAAAGTTGACGATGGTGAAAAGAAAGGTTTGTTTAATTCTATCATCAATTTTATCAGAAAGAAAACAACCAGCAAATCGTCAAAGTCGAAGCAGCAGTTGTCAGCGGTCAAGTCTAAGAGGAAGCCAAAACCCATGTTTCCAAAGAAAAGACAGAGGACCATCTCAACGATGTCCAACCTAGACCCAATCCAGGAGAGTCCAGAAGAGGATGACGATGATTTCGACACAGATTCTTACTCCCACGACTCGAGCAGTGACAGCAGCTCTAGCGAGTCCTGATATATGGCCAACCTTCGTCTGGACGAGCCGGAGACGTCTGTTCTTGGATGTTTACCACCTCTTCCTGAAAATCCATCGTCTGCCTCCACTTCAAAGTGAGGCAGAGCTAGAGCAGGTCCTGTCCTGTGGCATCGTCTGCACTTCAGAAGGTTAGCTGTCTAGTACACAACGCTACCTGTGAGATGGTCTGGCTGGTCACTTCGGACACTGCAAACAGGAATTCTCACCTGCTGGGGCAAGTACTTTGACCCTGCCTGACCTTACTGTGTCCAGAAAGCTAAATTTAGCCAACGCTTTGGGCTAAGGTCAACAAACAACTGACCTTGTCACTGGTATGACCTCTCAAGACACCTGCTGAATCTACCTGCTATAGACTTGATCAGTAAGAAACACAAATCGATTGTTGATAAAACTCTCCTACACCTGACCAGCATCTACATGGGACCACACCATTGAATTGCAGTATTCATTTGTAAGCATTTATTTCTGACTTGCCGAGTTTCAGCTTCCATCCATCAAGTCGATTGTTTCTCATTGACATTTGACATTGTTGAACAATACTGCAATACACCCACTTGACATTTGGAACAAAGATAAGGATATTTTAGTTAGAAACTCAATATTTTGATTAAAAACTTACAAGACAATACCAGTCGTCTCAGATTAGATTTTTTTTTTTTTTTTGATATTAGAATTTCAGAAAAAATCAAACTTCAGAACGTCTGTTGAACACGTCATAATTTGACGAAACTCAAAACTGCGAACTCTAATCCTAGAATTTGAGGATTATCAAGGATTGCTGCACAAATTTATAAATATTTATTGCTTTTATGTTACTGTTGTGGGGGGGGGGGGGGGTACCATTTGTTGCAATGTGTCCACTCTGGTTGTAACAAAATGCCTTTTAATTTATTGTTATATTTATTTCGAGTCCATCTTGCCTGGTTCAACTGTTGACTGGTCAGTTATTTATTGAATCATGGTTATTACTCGATCATTGATTGATTCATCCTTATAACTGTTGATTTATGTTTTTTCTGATCATGGATTAATTTATTTGCATTATTTTGATCATGAATCGCTTCATCGGCATTTAGTTCATTTCTCTGATTATGTATGTTTTTTTTTTTTTGGGTCATAATTTTTGAAATAATCAATTTCTTTATCGATACATCAGCGTAGCTACTACAATCTTTAATTCGTTTTTTTTTTTTGTTGTTGTTGTTGTTGCTATTATTAATTTATCATCTTTATTAGTCTAATCGTTTATAAGTTCGGTTCTTCTCTGTTATTTTACCACATCACGCTGGCTTTGAGATTTGGTGGGAAATCCCAGACCGTCCCATAGTATGGGGGAGGGGGTGTTAGGGTTAGGCTTTTTAGTAGTCGCTATTTATTTAGCCCTAGACCTAACACCCCCCGCCCCTTAATACCATGGAAAGGTTTGGGATTTCCCTACCATTTCTCGAAGCCAGCGTGATGTGGTGAAATAACAGAAAAGAACCATAAGTTCAGCTGTACTATTTAAGAATAATTTATCTATTCACCAGCATTATATCAGTTCAGTCATACCATTTCCCATTATACACCGATTAATCATTTATCCAATCGTCTTTATATCTCTGATCACTTCTGATGTCATTTAACATTTCTTGTTTAGACATTTTTCCTGTCTGTTCTGGAACCCCTTTGTGGGGAGAAACAATAAATAGACCCTTTACCACTCTAACAAGCATGTCGTAAGCTAGCGTCTACTGATTAGGGTAGTCCTTAGAAATCTGCATGAGAGGCAAGGAACCAACAGTCTGCACACAATTAAAGTCAGATTTGTAAAACTGATTTGCACGCAAAACAAGTTCTGGAGCCAGGTCTAAAGTACAGAAGTGGACGAACAACCGACAATTTTTGCATGAGTTTACAGCCGGTGAGCGTGAGGAAGACAACCCATTTATCATCATCATACCTTTTCACTAACACAACTTGCCGATTGGGTGGATTTATTTATGTCAGTATCAACATTCCACTTGTGGGGTGATTTTCTAGGATCCACCATGGTGGCACTTCCACTGTCTAACTCCACAGAATGTATTCATATCACGTAATTTATTTATTTATTTATTTATTGATAACCAAGAACCTCGGATACATTTGAGAGAAATAGTTGACTTATTTATAATACAGGCATGGAAACTGCGGATAGTTGGGAATTTAATTTATTATTTATTTATAACATTGATCCTGCGGATACAGTTGGGGGTAATTTATTACTCATTTATAAGCTGATTTAGGATTCATTTATTATTATTTATAAAATGAACTCTTAGAGTACATTGTGTTTCGTGGATTTTATGACAGTTGAAATATCAGTTGTTGTTTTTTTCTCTTATTTTTTAAATGAGATTTTTTTTAAAAATGTGTTTACACACTCACTTGGAGAAGAGGAAGAAACAACAAAGTAGTGTTTCAGTTTAATTTCAAGCAATTTATGCACTCTGGATAAACATGATGAACAGAAAAAATGGAGTCAAAAATGAAAAAGAAAACAGAGAGAGGTCGGTTATGGAAAAGGCAGAGGGATACCAAAGATTCCATGGGAATCCACGTTTAAGAAGCTAAAAGATAGGATCTTACGGCAAATATTTTGGAATTGGTTACAATATTATCTGTTTGGGTCGAAAAGGGCAGATATCGTTGCCTAGCGGTCAACCACAGCACAACATGCCAGCTGTCCTTTTTAATGTCGAATACAGAAGCAGAAGGAAGAAATGCGATATGTTGTTTGAATAACCTAAAGGAATTTGTCTCCCTTTTGCTGAGTTGAGTCCAAAATTGACAACACAGCGCTCGGGCATTCTCATGCATGCTCAGTCCTTATCTTCAGCAGCCGCGCAGATCGCTGTTGTTTTGATATGTAATATTGTCCTGTTTTGCCATTATGTCACAAAGACCTAGCAGTCTCTTTCTCTATTCCCTTCTATCCTGTGCAGTTAGTTCAATAACATAGATGGAATCCTGTCTGGCAGCTTTGGCCTCTCTCATCAGCGTCCCTTTTAGGGTTTCTCTTGATCGTCCTCGCTTCCTTGATCCTTTTATTTCCCATTTCACTACATGTTTGGTGATTCTCTGCTGGTCACTTCTCGGGATGTGTCCAGTGTATCGCCATCTTCTCTGTCTTATAACTGTTGTTGCTAGGTGCACATATATGGTTTGTATTTTATTTATTGAAAGTTCAGTATGCTTATTTATTTTTATTTATTGATTTATTTATGTGAGTAAATTATTCTGTGGGTGTGATAAATCCCAGGAGACAAGATCGTTAAATTATTGCATTCTTCGCCAAAGGCAGCATTTTATGTGGTTGGTTGTGTTGTGTGGGTTGGTTGACTTATTCAAAAATGTGAAAAAAAGGTGTAGGTTGGTTGTTTTGTGTGAGGAAAATGTATGACGTGCGCATGATTGGAATTGTTGGTTTTCGTGTAGGTTTAATATCTTTCCCTGGAATTGTAGGGGACATGCCTGCGTGCAATTGTGAGGGACATGTGTGATTGGAATTGTGAGGGACATGTGTGAATGAAATTTTGAGGGACATGTGTGATTGGAATTGTGAGGGATGTGTATTAGTGGAACTTCAAGTCACATGTGAGCTAGTGAAGACAATAGGTCAGATATGAGTGGGAAAACTATGAGGTCAGTTATGAGTGGGAAAACTATGAGGTCAGATATGAGTGATTGATGAAAACAGATGTAAGTTATAACAGTGGAAAATTTCAGGACAAATAAAAGTGCATGTGCGATTTGTATGTAAGACTTGTATGTGTGAAATTATGTGTAACGATAGCCCGCTGGCATATATGTATGCGCGCATGTGTGAATGACAAGCAAAGGAAGCAACAATGACATCTGTTGAGTCCTAATGAAGACATGGTTCTCTGGGTTGAATTTGAATTATACAATGTGTGGGTTTCAGTGTGTGGGGGGGGGGGGGGGAGGGTTAAAATATTTATGTATAAAAGTATTATTCGTGGGGATTCACCTGTTGTCCAAAGACAAGCTTTTGCGACAGTAACATAATTATCAACTCAAAACATGTTTAATTTATTCATTCATTTGTGCACTTGTATATAGTACGCGTATTTATTTATCAACACGTAGTATCTTCTAATATTTGACTGTCTACAACTTTTGGAGGGCTTACCGTTTTTGACCTAGTTTACCCGGGGTCGGTAAATTTCCATCACGCTCTGGGCGCGTGAACAGCGTGCCCGTGCGCGCGGCGACCCACGATCGATGCTGTCATTGGTGGACGAGGAGGGGACGAGGGGGCGCTTATTCATGAGTCTAGCGAGAGAGATATGGGCTTTGCCGCCCCCTCCAGCCCCCTTCTCTGTTGATAAACGTAATGAGATTTGCCGCACAAGAATGTGGCCTGGTTTGCCCTAGTGCGATTAAGGCAAATGTTGCATAGGTTTGTTTACATTTTTTTGTTGTTGCTTCGGGGGCGGCACTGTTTACATAATGAAACAGTCACAGCTTGTTGGTTGCCTACGGGTCGCCCATGCAGTTTCTACGGTCGAAGACTTCGGTTCATTTGCTAACAACTTGTTGGTGATTCTTCTCTGTGAACAAGTTACCAAACATGCAGAAATAATGCTGATGAGATGGAAGACTACAAAATATATTTGACACAAGACAGTAGTAAGACATGGAGCAGACAGACACGACAAGACGGAACGAGAAAGATGAATATAAGATGGCAAATTGAAGAAGAATACTAACTAAATCAAAAGACTAAATAAAATCACAAAAAGAATATACACGATAAAATACTTGAATAAGTAGAAAGACTGATATAAAACAAAAGAATATATACGAAATACAAAACAAGACAAAAGACTAGACGGACGGAAAATAACATGACAAAGGTACATACATAACAGAAAAGTCAAAACAAATTCTCGTTATACTTCTCAGTCGAAATACTTAGAAATGCTACGGCAGTT